ATGAAATAAAAACTATTGTAACAAAGTTTGATAAAAAATTATTTGTATGATAGAAAAAGTCAAACTTGTGTTGTATTTACATATTGAGCTTAAATATATTTATACGATATATGTAAGTAAACTTCTCTTATATGAGGAGAAAGCGCACACATGAACTTGAATCTTTAACTCTTGATCGTCATGTGTTGAATTCATGTAAAGAGAAAAAACAAACCACAAAAACTAGAAACCAGATTAGCTATAAATTGCTTGACAAATCATCATCAAAACTATAGGGCCAACATTAACTATAATGAGGTTTTCTCTCTAGTGGTAAAGCACTCTTCGATTCGGATTTTGCTAGCTTTGGTGGCACAGTATGTTTTGGAGTTAGATCAGTTAGATGTGAAGATGACATTTCTTCATGGTGATCTTGATGAAGAAATATATATGACTCAGCCATTGGGATTCCGAGCTGCAGGGAAAGATAAGTTGGTTTGCAGATTGAAGAAATCACTATACAGTTTGAAGCAGTCTCCTTGACAGTGGTATATGCGATTCGATGGTTTTATGATTGGTCATTTGTACACTCGAAGCCAGTTTGATCCTTGCGTATATTTTCACAAGTTGAAAGGAGGTGCGTACATCTATTTGTTACTTTATGTCGATGACATGTTGGTTGCCTCTATTTTCAGAAATGCTATAGATGAGTTGAAGGCACAGCTTTCAAAGGAGTTTGAGATGAAAGATTTGGGTGAGGCGAAGCGTATTTTAGGGATGGAGATCGGCAGAGATAAGAAGAAGGGCGTAATTTGTTTGACACAAGTGGCTTATTTGAAGAAGGTTCTATAGTGATTTCATGTTCGCATGGATACGAAGCCAGTTAATGTACCATTGGGAGCCCATTTGAAGCTTTCAGCTGATCTTTCACCAAAGACAGTTAAAGATAGAGAGTTGATGTCGAAGACTCCATATGCGAGCGTGGTTGGGAGCTTGATATATGCGATAGTATGTACGAGACCAGACTTATCACAGGTGGTGAGCATAGTTTCGAGATACATGCACGATCCAGGAGTGGGTCATTGGGACGTCGTGAGATGGATTTTGAGGTACATTCGAGGTATGCTTAATGTTGGTTTGGTTTATGAGAGGGACACTATAGGTGGGTAGTTATGTATTGGTTATATTGATTCGGATTATGTCTGGGATTTGGATAAGTGCCGATCCATGACGAGGTATGTGTTTACTTTGACCCGTGCGCCAATGTGTTGGAGATGCACCTTACAGTCGACAATGGCTTTGTCTACGACGAAGACAGAGTATATGGCGATTACAGAGGCTGTGAAGGAGGCTATTTGGCTTCGAGAACTTTTGGAGAAACTTGGTATATCACAGCGGTCCGTCACTATTCATTATGATAGCATGAGTGCTATCTATTTGAAGAATCAGGTTTTTCATGCGAGGATGAAGCATATTGACGTTCGTTATCACTTCGTTCGAGATGTTCTTGAAGATGACAATGTGAAGATTGTGAAAGTCCACACGAAGGATAATCCGACGGATATGCTCACTAAGGTGGTTCCGAGCAACAAGTTTGATCATTGTCGAAACTTGTTGCATATTCGTGATTGTTGAGGCCGTTGACGGTCATTTGGATGAACTACGGCTGGCTTGATCCCTTGGGAGAGGGGGTACGTAGGCAACCACATTGGTACAGCCGAATTTGGTGAGACGACGCATTTGTGCTCATGTTGGTGTCGGCTCCGTTTTGGGAATACATCGCCGAGGTGAAGAATTGTTGAATAACAGTATTCCTAATCTATTTTGGTAACATGAGGTTATTAGGATTCCTAATCTATTTTGGTAACATGTACATGAGGTTATTAGGATTCCTAATCTATTTTGGTAACATGAGGTTATTAGGATTCCTAATTTGTTTTGTTTTTTCTATTTTGGTAACATGAGGTTATTAGGATTCCTAATTTGTTTTGTTTTTGGTTTTAGGATTCCTAGTCAGTTTTGGTTTTAGTTTTTTCTATATATATGGAGATTAGAATCAATCATCAAAAGAGAGGAGAGGTGTAATCAGAGATTAAAGAGGCTTTTGAGCATTGTGAGAGGGAGATATTGTGAGCAAGTTGAGAGCTTTGGTTGAGGGTTAGTTTGTGAGTTTTGTGAGATTGTAACCCTTTGTACTCTCCTTGATTTAGTAGAATCTCCCCATCCTCTCCCCGTGGACGTAGGCAATTTGCTGAACCACGTAAAATTGGTTGTCTCGCTATTTGTATGATTTGTAATAGTTTATTTAGGTTCCCTCGACAAGTCAGCCCTAGAACTGATGAGAGGAAGAGTTGATATCCCACTTTATTGAGATATTTTGCTTAAGGTTCTTGTTTCCTTTGTGAAAGGAGAATTCCTATTGCAACCTGACTCTCTTGTTGTGCTGCCGAAATTTCCACTACGCGCAACAATAATTACAACGATATGCATTGGATCGGGTAATAGTTACATTGGTATTAGAACTTGAAGGTACTCATGTGGCTTCCATCAATAGTTACAATGGTAGTAGGGATTTTTTTGTGCTCCAGGAGACGATAGAAATTGTATTCAAGCATAATGATACAACACAATGCAAAAAATATTGATATTCTATAGTTTACAAGTTCAATTACATCCTCAAACCATCCATATACACCACAATTGTGGATTCAACTTGCAGACAACACTAAAGCTTTTCAATTTGGATTCAAGTCCTAAACATTTGCTTCTTCAATGGCTCACTGAGCATCTTCCATCAAGGTATATTCTATGTCGAGTTATTAATGTAAGTCAATCTTCTCGGGTTGGCTATGGTGATAATCCAGCCTTCATTACCACAAAGAATTTTATCAATTTTAGCAACTTTATCTAGCACTCATGTAATTTTGTTTCAAGTTTCTTTCGTACTCACAACAAATGGAGCATCTGTTCAAGAACATGAAAGCGAGGCCATTTCAGGAATTAAACTTCAAAATCTATCAAATTTAACAACAACAACATCCATATTTAACAACACCAAATTCATATCCATATTGTGTCATCAGAACCAAATTAAACAACAATTTCATATTATAAGCACCCCAACCAAAAAAAAGTTCAAGTGAGGAGAGAAGGAGCCATCATAGATCTAAACAAGGATGTCTCTAGAGAAGGAGAAAGTTGGCAAGGTGTCAAACTAAAGCACGAGACATTTTCCATAACGTTGAGAATACGACATCGGTGGCAACTTCAGTGATGGTTTGTGTACGGCTGTGATGGCGAAGTTCGAGCGAAGGATGATAAACTTGATGTCCCATCACTGACGGTATGAGCACGAGGGCTTCCTGAGTTTATGGGTTGTATGGGGCACTGATGGCAAACCCAGTTCATGCGAACAAAAGTTTGGATGGAGGTTTATTTATTTGGGGAATTTTTGTTTGCTAAGTTTATTGCTGGAAGAGATAACTCACATAGTTACTAAAAATAGCCTTTTCTGTTAGTAGTATCTTCCGACTCATTAATTTCCACCTAATTAATAATTGCTAGCTATACCCGCCATATCACCTGTCCCCTCTTCGGGTCCTGCAAGCAACACTCTTTGGAAGCAACAAGTCTACCTAAAAGAAGAAAATTTTAAAATAAACCCATTCAAAATTTTAATCCCCAAAATCAACCTTATCCAAAGTTATTTATCAAAATCAACCCATTTTCTCATAATGTCAGCTTCGTGGCCAGAAAGTTGGTCATTTTAAAAAAATCGCGATCCTAATTAGTCGGGTTGCCAACCACGACTAATTAGGAACTCGCCCACAGCCCTCGATGGCTAGTCCTCTAAACATTGTACAAAATGGTCGGGGTTGGCAACTCCGACCATTTCGAAGCAAGTCGAAATGATAGAGGTTCCCAACCCCGAGCATTTAGTAGAGCCTGAGCATCCCCACACAAAAATATATTTAGGGTTGGGAACCCCGACCATTTCGTGCACGTTGTGCACGAAATGGTCGGGTTTCCAACCCCACCATTTAGCAGAGACCCTCCAGCCCATACTTTACTGGAAAATCTCATCTCCTGCTAACACATATCAATCCACAAGCTCAACAACAACTCTCTTGCGACACATTTATCAACCCATAATCAATTTTAAACATAAATAAACACATATCTTTATATAATTATTATATTTATAACAAATCTTTAGCAAAAACGTAACATTTAATTCACTTACTAAAAATCTAACAATAATCAAGTCACAGTAGCATTTCAAACATAAACATCATAACATTTCAAACATAAAATCATATGAAGTATATCGAAATTTAACAAATATTTAGAACTCCCTTTCCTCTCCCTCTCCCTCTCCCTCTCCCTCTGCCTCTTCTTCCTCTCCCCCTTCCTAGTTCACCTTCAACGTGAGCTCGGATGATCTCAACGTCCGATTGTGTGTGAACTTGTGAGCGCATGACATCCTTGTTGACTTAAACCTGCTATGAACATCCTGACTTGAGCTTGCTGTGAGCCTTCAGCTTCATCATGTGCACGACTTGAGCCTGCTCTCGTGTGTCCTCAGATTCGTCAACGCTCGTATCTTATGAGTCGTTCCTCACATCTATCACGATTCGCATTACGCGTCCTTCTAAGAGCAGACTGACTCTTTCCTATGATGCGAATAAACGCGTTCCTCGCCCCTGGCTTGGTAGTTGTTTTCAATGCATCATGTGCAATAGAAGCAACATCATCGAGTTCTTGCACCTATAAGATAAAAAGCGGAAGAGGTTGATTTGTGCAATCACTAAATTAGTCGGGGTTTCGAATCCCATAATTTTTTTAAAACGACTCACTTTCTGGCCACGAAACTGACGTGTCGACAAAGTAGATCCATTTTGATAAATAACTTTGAATAATGTTTATTTTGGGATTAAAATTTTGAATGAGTTCATTTTGAAAATTTCTTCCTACCTAAAATATCTCATTGTTTATCATAACTGTGAGAGAGCCCACCGGAAGCGACAGCACTGACCTAGCACGTTGACCAATCCGTCGATTTGATCCCTCTCTCCCCCTCTCTCTCCTCCTCTCTCATTGAACATACCAAACTCATCTTCTCACGTCTCTTCTCCCCAGTATAAATCTCAAGATCACCCATAGTTCATAATAATTTTAATCAGCAGAGAGCGACTGGAATGGGGAAGATGTATGTGAGCACGTTGCCGCCTCCAGATTTGAACAAGAACACGGAGTGGTTCATGTACCCGGGTGTGTGGAGCACCTACATCTTCATCCTCTTCTTCTCCTGGCTCCTCGTTCTCTCCATCTTAGGATGCAGCCCTGGCTTCGCTTGGACCATCGTCAACCTCTCCCACTTCCTTGTATGAGATTTCCCAACCCCCGCTTTTAGCATTTCTTTTTTTTTTTTAAATTAGTTGAGGGTGTATGCCCATGCCCAGATGAGGTTTATGGGTTTGGAATTTGTTTTTTTTTTTGGTTTTGTTTAGATTGTTTGATACAGTGGGGATTTTTCTCCATCCGAGTATTGCTTGTTTGAATGCTTTTCTTTTGGTCTTTTTTTTGGGTGCTTAATTGGGATGGGGGTATAAACATGCCCAGATGATTTTTGATGGGTTTAAACTTGTAAATCTTGGTTTTATTTAGATTCATTGATGGAAGGAAATTTTCTATCTGGGTATTGGAGAAAACTGAAATCATCGGCCTGATTTTTGTGGTGTGAGAAAAGGACCGATTTTTGTGATTAATCTTGTGGACTTTTGCCAATTTAGAATCTTTGTTTATGAGCAGTGGCGTATGATTCTCCGTTTCTTTTTTGTTTCTAGCTAGGCATCAAATTGGAAGTCAACTCTTCCATGATCAGTTTTCTCATTTTTTTAAGGCGTTGCCCTTTTTCTTACTGACACTTGTACACTGCTCTATCATTGAATTAAATCACTAGATCTTAGAGTTTTTTTTAATTGTTTTTGGGACATTTAATTCATGATCTGCTTAAAGGGTGAAATGTGCAGTGCATTGATTTTTTACTTAGTTAAAGAGCGATGCTGGCAAAGATTGTTTGGTGAATCCTTTTTTACATAATGGAAGTGTTTATGATGAGGCTAGGGTTTTGATTCTGTTAAACTTTTCTTTTTCTGAAAAGCAATTCTATGCTTATCTTTAATTAGCATCTAAAACTATCATTAAACCAAGATCGAGGGTCATATTTGTTACCCAGGTCATAGATTTCTTTGAAAATCTGTAGTATATTCTTATTGACCTGCACATTTCTCCTGTTTTTCCTTATTGATAATGGCTTTCAACTTCCATACTAGATATCAGCATAAATGGATGCAATATCCATTGCCATTCCAGGCAGGAACTATTTTAATGCAACAAGCAGCAAATGTTACATGATTAAGAGAAACCATCAGTTAACAAAGTTGCTGATAATTTGGTGTTCTAAGTTCAATTCTGTATACAATGAACTGCATGCTGAGCAATTTTCTAAACTTTCTGGAATCAGGTGTTCCTTCTTTTACTTTTGCATCAAGATCCTGTGTTGTAATACATATAAACTACTTAATCCTTTTAACCGTTTATAACTCTAGAAGATGTGCTATTTACATATTTCATGCACGAAAAATTTATTCTTTTTTACTGTATATGGGGATGCACTGTTGTAGAACACCTTAACACCGTAGTGTAGTGTATATTTCACTGTGGAGAATAAAGCCCATCTTTCATCTGGAATATCTAATTGATATGATGCAAAGGAAGTCAAATATCTTAGAGTTTGGTTCTAATCTTGCTGCTCTTAATTTGGATAAACCTTTTGTTAGTTGGTGGTTTCATTTATCGCATATGGGTTTTATTTGTCAACAAGCCTAAATTTGTCAACAAGATACTGATGTATCTTGTTTTTTCAGGTTACCTACCACTTCTTTCATTGGAAGAAAGGAACGCCCTTTGCTGAAGATCAGGGTGTCTATAATACTTTAACTTGGTGGGAACAGATGGATAATGGCAAGCAGCTTACTCGTAACCGGAAGTTTTTGACTCTCGTTCCTGTAGTCCTGTGAGTAACGCTTCAATTGTTCTCTCCCTACTTCTGAATGCTATCTTGATTCATCAAAAATTATCAGTGAGAAGTGCAACCTCATTTTGCAAAGGCAACCAATAAATTTGATCAAAATTTTATCTTATTAGCTGCCTGACATATTACAGTTTTGGATATACGGTACTATATCTGTTGTGATTTTTCTGAAGAGCTACTTTTTCTTCATTTGTGCAATAGAACTTTTCTGCTGTTGCTCTACACACCTTGTATTTGTAAATTTGATTTTCTGGATTTTATTCTGTACAAACTTATGGATATGTTCATGTGCATATACTTTTTAGAGAAATAAAAAAAAAATCTTTTGAATACTGGGTTGTAGTTGGTTTGGCTGCTCTTGCATGAATGAGTGAGAATAAGTAGTACTCTAAACTTGGTATGGAAGATTAAATCATAAGTTTTCATACATCTTTGACTACGATGGCTAAAAGTCTTTCTCTATTATTCATCAAGAAATGATAAACAATCCTTGCCAATTCCAAATAAAAGTATTCTGGTATACTTGAATAAGATTGAATTCTCCATTTGTATATTGGACAATTGCAATATTGTCTCTGTTAATTCCTTTGTTTTTTCACCTTTTCTCTTCTGTCATGATAGTTTTTTTTACTTTGTTTTTCCATCTCTTTTTTGTTGTCTTGGACTCTCTCCCTTCCCCCCTCCCAAACTAAAACAATAATATTAACAACTTAGCCTTTTTTCCTCAATTTTTGGGGTTGGCCCCATTAATCAATTTCTTCCATTTAGTTACGTGAAACACTATGTTCTTCATTAAGTTAACTGCTATCTCAATCTTCTTTATTGCTTCCAACCAGTTTCTTTTAGGTCTATCACTAGTCCTTGATGGATAATCTACTACTGTAATTTATGATCTTCACAAACTATTCAATTATGTTAGTGTTTCAATCATGTTCATATACGATTTAGAAATTTTCTCTTACGTGTGTCTAGGTGTGTGTTTGTGCTTGCACGAGCTTGTTGGTGCACATCGACGCATGCATGGATGTGTCTTACGCAAAAAATGGGGTGTATGGTGTAGCTAACTTAGTTACATGTACTATACACATTTGTCCGTCAGTATTGTTAATACAAAACCATATTTTGTTATCTATATGTCATCAAACCTCAATGGATAAAAAATGACATGGTTTGGAGTTTTACATTCTATAATTCAAGCAACTAAAAAAAAGGACTTTGAGATCCCTGGAAACCTCACCTTTCAGGTCATGAGATGTATAAGGTAGACATTGAATCTACATGATTTTTGATCTCCATGAATTTTAGAATATAGATATTGTAACGAAATGTGTAAATCAATTATATTGATATTTGATATATATTTTACTCTATGTGTTTAACTAATGTTGAAGTTATCAATTTATATGGTGAGATAAATTTTGGGGAGAGAAATTTACATCACTTACAAAGAAGTTTGACATGATGTTGTAAGCCAAAGGTTGATTACTAGTAGAGGACACTCAATGATTACTCAATTTTAATGATGTCCAAATATAATAAGCGAAAATATTAAAAATATTGTAGGATAACTTTTTCTATTGCACTCATATCTCTAATCCTACTAACAATTGAATCCCTAAAGAAGTAAGTTATAATGTAGGAAGTAGACATAATAACCTACAACCTTGTAGATTTAACAATTGGGAGCATGATCCTAAGGACAAGGGTGTAGATACAAATTTGATATCTTTTCAGCAATTAGTACTTTTTGTGCAAGGAGAAAAATGCTAAGTTTTGGATGATATTTTTGCCAAAAAATTCTAATTTTAAATACAACACAATTACATTCTTCAATTTACAAAACAATTATAGAGTCGACAATTGGTAACTGCGTATATGGGAATAATAACATGATGAACTTGATTGACAAATTGGTGATGAAAAAGGAGTATTTAATGTTCCTAGGGAAAATGGACTTGCTTTATTGACTAAACACCAATTAATATACATAGTCAAAAGAATTGAGGCCATTGTGGACAAAGCGGTGAAAACTGCCATGTAATCAGTTTTAATCAGTTTTAAAAGCTGAAGCGGCCCTGAGCCGCTTTGGTTTCATTGCTTTCACTGGTATTTGGTGTTTTTGGCTTTTTTTACTCAAAATGCACCTTAAGGCACTGGAAAGCCTTTCTAGTGCTTTTAAAAATACGAATAGCATGCTTTTAAATAGCCTTTTCGTACCCAACCAAAACTTGACTCGAACCCGACCCGCTTTACAACTTAAACTTGCGCCCTTTCTCCTTCACTTCTTACTTCTCTCTTCTGTGTTTCAAACTTAAAAGAAAACTCAAGACCCCATATTCTCTGCCTCCATCCTCATCCACCTCCATCCACCTTATCCACCACGACAAGTCCATTTCTCTAGCAAACTCTCCTTTTCTCAACCTTGCCCATCTCTTCTTTGTCAAAGCTCACCCCAAATTTAGTCGAAGCTCTCGTTAATAAAGCCTCATGGACAAATCTGCTTATAGCAAAACCATCTCCATGCGAACCCAAAAAAACATTAAACCCCCTTCAACAAACTCAGCTTTCAGCAAGTTCTCCACACCATGACACCTCTTGATTCCCCTCAGTGCAAGCAACAGTAGTGTCGAGCAGCAAGTTTACCTTCAGCTTTCATTTTTTCTAAGTTTCTCCTCTCAAGTACTTTCAGTGTACTATAGTGCTCTTCTTTTTTTGAACTTGATTATGTTTTTGTTGAATTTTTGTTCATATTCAAAATTATAATAGGATCTGGACCGCTTTTTTTCTTGGCATTTTTTGCGCTTTGAACCACTTATCCCTATAAGACTAAGCGGTTCCTCGTTGCTTCGCTCCGCTTTCCACAATCTTGATTGGGATTAGCGCTGGCATTAAGAATAAAAATTGATATACCTCAGCTAGATATGGCTTTAACACAATATTTTTTGGTTGTCAAGGAGGCTATTATATTTTGAAATTTCATATTATTTTTACTAGGATTTGAAAGTTTATTTTGAAGAATTAAGTGCCTCCACAGAGGACTAATTCAATTATATGTACAAGTTTTTGGTTGAATGACATGTCGTTTTTGTTAGAATATTTTAAATTGATGTTCAAGTCTAAAGTGATGCACTTAATAAAGTTGAGGAACATTGCTCAATATTTAAGCCATACGTATTAAATATATTTTTCAATTTCATAGGCAAAGTTTAGATCATCATTTATGAGCCCATATAAGCACTTTTGAAGCTCCATATTGAGATGGAGAGGAAGCATGTGATTCATTGCTATTTTCGCCTTTGTCACTCATCTTACTTCATCTTTTTAATTAAGAAAACTATCTTCCATGTGTATTATGTACCCTCTCGGTAAAATTTGTCAAAACAGAGGATGTTGCTTTTCATGTTTGGTACATAATAAACATGTGAGATACAATAAGGTTTTCCATCTTTTTGAGATTTTTTCATTTACCTTTGACCTGAGTCTCCTAAGCTGACTTTGCCATGAGCATCCTTTGAGAGTCCTTCAAATCTTTATTTTCTCCTGTATATGTGACTACTCTCTCTAAAATCAAGAAACCACATGTTCTTTTGATCAGTCTCCTCATTCACAAGGAGAGTGAGGCTTTCCTTTACAACATCTGGAACTTTTGATTGTTGCCATCGATCAAAAGATTGATTCCAACCGTCCAAAGCATATCATCCGAACTTGTTGCAATTGTAACACTGAATGCTTTGATTACCGTGTTCCGGAATTAGTCCCTATGATAGCTCTTTACCATGATTGTTACTACTTTTCTCTTACTCATGTTGGTGATTGCCTCCTCAATCTTGGCCTTATCCTTTGGTAACTGCGTTGTTGTGGAACTGTATTTCCACGACCACCTCTAGCGGCCTAGACTCAACCTTAACTCTAGTGTTTGGTGTATTGTTGTCAAATTTGATCTTTGTTGTATGTGTTTCTCATATACTTGAGAACTCATCATCTCATCTAATCGACTTGTCTTTTGCTTCCTTAATAGTCGGAATCATGTAGGAAACTTTGGATGCAGAGAGCGTATAACATCATATTGACATCTGTTGGTACTTCCCCATTTCTTCGTAGCTGATTAACTACCCTCATAATTCTTGACAATTGATTCATTTCATATTCAAACTTTCATATTCATCATATAAAGTTTGAAGTCAGACTGTCTTCGGCTTATTACGTATAGGTCTCTTCTAGAAGTTGCCATATGCTTCTTGTAATGTTCAAGCCACTGAAATAACTCCAATGTTGCTTCCTCCACACCTTAGTAGAGGGTGATGATAGCTTTGTTGTCCTTTCTTGAATTTTTGAATGATCCTTTGCCTCATTTGTCATAGCTAACTTTTCTTCTAGTGACTCTGGCTCCTTATAGCCATCTTGCACAAGCTCCAAAACATCCATGGAAAGTAGTATTGTCATTTGTATGCACAAGTTGTCAAAGTTCTCTCTGCTCAGCTTTAGAAAATGAGGTTAGAACATACTATTAGAGGCCATGGGTAGAAGGATTGTTTAGCTCTGATGGCAATTTGAGAGCTCTAACCAATAGGATTCTTTTGATTAGCAGAAGTTCAATGGTGTTTATTGCTCTACACACTATATAATGGTTTACTATCTTTTTCTTTACGATACAAGCTCACTTTGTGTAATATGAGGAAGCAAATAGGTTCGGAAGAATTTCATTGTTATGCTTTTGCTTTAAGCTCTTACTTTTATTTTAGCTTAATATTACAAATATAGACTAGCCTTTTATATAGGTGGTAGAGTAAGCAGTTTGACTTTGACTAGAAAATTAAAAATTATATTTAATAGATATGACTTAAATATCTTTAATTATTCTAAACTTCATCAAGTGGGCATTGTCTTCCTCATGTCGAGTTCTACAATATGAACCATATAAAGACTCAAAATCATGTACCTAAGCAGTAACTACATCACGAAGGCATGCAAACTCCTTCACA